GAATAAAACAGCTCTGTAATCATAAGGTTTGAGATTTTCTTACGGCTTTCCGGGTGCGAAAACTTTCCGAAACCTTCGAGAAATGGACCCCAGCGGGCCTTCCCGTCCTCGTAATAAGGAAATGAATACAAATCGTGACTGGCCTGCAATTATCATATCACCCAGCTGTAAATTGACGTCACTAAGGACACCCAAACAATTCCCTTTATAAATTAAAAACCATCGGTTCTCGAGCGCAGTTTCGTTCTCGAGCGCTGTCTCGTTTCGTTTCGTTTACTTTAGCTCGAGGAGAGCTGCTTTGAGACTGTCTCCAACGTTTTATGAGTTCCAGTGTGACGAATTCGAAATGATCTGCGTACAGATTGTGAGATTGAGAGCCAACCTGAAGAATTTCTAGGAGTGATACACAAACTTTTGTTTTATTACATAAGTTTGACAGTATTTAACTCAATTTGAGATAAATACATACCTCCTGAAGGCCCGTATTCAAAGCATTGGAAGGCATTCGGGACTCTCTTTGTCCGCTATCTTGAATTTCTTGGTTTGTTCTGAAATACAACACTCCAACCAAAACACGCATTCTCATTGGGTGAAACGCGAGTTTCGTGACATCACAGATGTCCTAATTTAATCGGGATTTCCGGACTGATACATGTGTTTCACTTGCGTTTTCGACGGAATCAACTGTAAGAGACAAGAAGTATAATTATCTATAAATCGTTTTAAAAGGAGCTTAAAGGGGTTGACGGGACAGCAAACGCACCTGTCGGCGATCGATAAACTATACACCTCGTCAGGTGAGATTACCTTGTTCAGTACGCGTCAGGTTGTGCGAGCAGTGCGACGTATAACACCAGCAGTAGGAGAATTGGTGAAGTGTTATAACATCTCCATTTTGGCAAAATAATGGCCGCTTATCTGCATACAACGGAAGAAATGAATCAAGAATATCAAGCAGGTTTAGAATTGGAATCTGAAGTGTTGACACATGCAGACAGCAACACGCCCGAGAAAGATCATATTGAACTGCTTGTACAGAAGGTCGAAGATGATATAGCCTACAAGCCTTCGATCACTTCCGTGATAGAAGATGGAAAATTTCAACTGAAGCTAACGCCCTCATCGTCAATACCCTACGAAATAAAAATCAACGTGAACGGGGAGAAAACTGCCAACAGTAATTCAGTTGTTCGAGTGAAAGAGCGGCAGTTTGAAGTTGTTGGCGAACTGGATGTTCAAGGAGAAAAGCTTAAAGGATCCAGTGGAATAGCTGTGAACAGCAAAGGCGAAATAGCAGTCACAGACTTCGATGGCCATTTTGTCGCAATATTTGACAAGGATGGAAAACGTTCTAAAACGGTTGGTCATTATGGAGACAACACTGGAGAATTAAGATTTCCTGTTGACGTCACTTACGTCAACGATGACGTCATCCTAGTGGCGGACGAGTGGAATCACAGGGTACAGCAGTTTCATATCCGAACTGGTGAGGTTATCAAAAGCTTTGGAAGATTCGGTGCGAGAGATGGAGAGTTCGCCAGTCCTGTTAGTGTCTGTTTGGATGATAACGGACATGTTTTCGTAGCAGAGTTAAACAACAATAGAATACAAGTTTTGACACAAGACGGTCAAGCACTGTACAAAGTGGGCGACACCTTTGATCACCCGCTGAGCTGTATCACCCACAAAAACTTGCTTATCGTGTCTGACAGTCGAAATAATTGCATCAAAGTGTTTGATGTTTCAGGAAAGTTCTTGTACAAGTTTGGAGAAGGTGGGGAGAGAGATGGGCAGTTTAAAGGCCCTTTTGGTTTGTGCGCTGACAGAGAGGGGAAGCTTCTTGTATGTGACCAGTTTAATGGGCGCGTTCAACAGTTCACTCTGGAAGGTCGCTTTACCGGTAAGTGCGCTATTGGTGCGCTGCGAACACCTTGGGGTATGACAACTACGGAAGATGGCCGTATTCTGGTGACCGACTACATGGCGAGGAAAATACACATTTTAAAATGAGTGCTTTTAAGCTCTGTTTGACGCTCGTTTAAGTTCACTTCGCGTTCTTGCAAATATTTTGTCTGTGATTCGCGCAAAGACTAAAGCTAGATTTAACCCAGACTCTGCCAAGTTTATAAATGACCCATCAGGCAATACTGTCTGTACCAAAAATAATCGGTTTTTGTGCATTACTAAAAAACCAATAAAAAATTAAATAACTCTGTAAGGACAATTAACATTCGGGTTTTGAGATTTACGGAACGTAAATGTATTTAGCATAATAAATAACACGATAATAATTATTTGTCAACAATATGACAATTATTTATGTCAAGTAATGAATGTTAGTAAAATGCTTGTAAATAGTGTTCATGGTAGTGTTTGTAATTACTGTAATTGACAGTGCTAGTAGCTGTTTCTATTGTTATCAATATAGTTTTTATTATTTGTGAGAAATACAGAATGTATTTAGCAAAGGAGATCCCTTCCACCGCCGGCTTTAGCAATTGAGAAAGTAAGTGACACATGAGTTGTTTTTAAATTCCGTTTATATAGATTCAATGTATTTCCTTTTTAAATGTTTCAGTTATAGACTGAAATTCAGCCGCTCCCTCTGACTCGTAAAACCCCCAGCACAGATGTCTGAATTAGTGAAGGCTACTAACGTAAAATTAATGAACTATGTAGTGAGTCTCTGGAGAATTTGAACAACGGAGAAGACCAAATGCTGAATTTCGGGAAAGTTAGCAGCCAAGTTTCATTCTATTTACAAGTAAAACATCAGCATTGATGCGACAAATTGTTTAAAGTTGACTTAGTATGGTTCATCATTTAAGTACAGTAGGGTCATAGGCTCCTGGTACATGAATTGGACAGGGCTATTTAAATAACTTATACTTTTATAAGCTCTTATAAGTTTAAAATTTACGAATATCCAACGTAATAATTTAAAGAGTCATTTATATAATAAGTTAAAACGAATAGTAATATCTACAACTCGTCGACAGAAACGCACAATGCGCTACCCAGGCTATTCACTATCCCCTCCACCCACAGTAACACCATAATGGGCCTTAAGGGCATTCACAAGCTCTCTCTCGCTGTCCTCTAAAGAAGCCCCTTCTTGCATTTCACTCCTATTGAAGACCAGGCGCTTGACTGCGTCTGCAGACGTTAACAGGTTACTCTTAAGTAACCTACTCCAGTCGAAAGGAAAGGAGGCAATCTTGTCCTGGTAAAACGCACATTCGCCAATCATTGCGAACTGCCGGAGCGGGTTAAACCCCCTGCTGTGCTCGCTTCCAGGAATGGAGCGAGACGGTTCAGGGGGAAGGATGTGGCCTGGGACGAGAACCAGGTTCATCAGCCAGTCCTGGGTAAGACAGCAGATCGTAATTACTTGTCATACAAGCCATAACACGACTAATTATAGCAAAGTGCAAGGTATGTCTTCAAGTCTAGATGCTTAACAAGTCAGCACTTACTGAGCTTTCTGATCTCCATAGCCTGAAGCGGCTGGGAGCATCGCTACCTCCCCTTCCCTGGATGGGGTGCTGGGTCATCACAAGTACCCCCAGTAGACGAACCAAGAAATAGAAGCATTTTACTACATTTCATACCTTGTTTGCTTGAATGAAGTTATACGCGTGCCTCAGAGACGCCGCACCTAGAGAGGGAACAAATATAAATTAAAAAAGTAAAGGAAGAAAACTTAACATGTATGGATTATTACAGAAAATTTAATTTTCGACCACGTAACGTAAAGTGATGGTATACCTGATAAAGGTGCATGTGCTACTAAATTGCACTTAAAGCAATTAATTTTAAAACACCATCCACACCCAACATACTCAGTGTCCAATGCAGTTTCCCGTATAATCATGCGTGCATAATTATGCAAGCATAATTATATACTAACTGCGTTTCCAGTTTTCTAGTTGTTCGTCTTTTCCAGAATGCGCACTTGACGCGATTCTCACCTCTTGTGTCTGAAATCAGTGCAGACGCCATATGAGTGAACTGAAGATCAGCTACTGATTCATACACTGTCTCAACTTGATATTCTTCATACGCCCTGCACAACACAAATAGCATCAAATCAATAGTGTCATATTATGAAAAACACATCTCCGTACTGAGTGCTAAGTCAGAAGCGAAACGTGCTATTATAATTTTACAGAAGTTCTGTTCTCTGCTTTCAAAGGAAAACAAGGGATTTGGAGTCAACAGATACTCAGACGTGATAGTCAATTTTGTTCCGCAACACAGCAGTCAGGTAATCAACCCAGATGTCAGTTTGACACTCCAAAAAGTACACACCAGTTTCATCAATTGTCCCATTTTTTTCCAATTCCTCTCAGGATTGTGGCAAATGGATTCGGCACACTTGCTTTTCACCGATACGAAAGGTCTCACTAGCACAAAAATCGACAGGTTTATCCAATTTAAGGTCAGGCTAAACTTTATTGTAACACAACGTGACAAGTTGTCACGACATCCACACTACATACTTACTGGTTAGCAATGTGGGTCTTGACTTGTCCAACCTTTTGATTCAACCAGTCTCTCTTGGAAATCAGCAATGCATCGACGTCTGACGGAAGATTAGGATTCCTTACACCTCCTACGTGAACAACAACACAAGGTAAACCTTTCATTATATCAGTTATTATTTGGCAAACTTGTTTACGATGAAATGGACAATTCTGATTGGTTCCCATCGTTGAGCGAAGTTGCAATAAACAACAACAATAACAATAATAAGATCGCTCACGAATTAGTCTCCACGAACGGGTTTTTGAAAATCACTATACAAAATAAAATGGTCCGTAGTTAGGTAGAAATTATCTTTCCTTCAGGTCTAACGTACAGTTTCGGTTAAACTTCCACGGAAGTGACCTTATTAACAACTTTACCGTGCGTTTACTAAGAACGGAAGCGTTAACTCATCAGGAGTTTTAAAAGAGCCACTATAATAAAACTCAGGGGCGTATCCAGGATTTTTACTTAGGAGGGGGTGCACCACTAAGAAATGGCGTAGCTGACTGGTGAGGTAAACAAATTTTAAAAGCCAATATGTCATCTCTGCGCACTCCCTGCACCCTCCCCCTGGATCCGCCCTGAAACTCTCGAACTATTTTTTTCGATCCATCTTATTAGTGAATACTGGTTTTGCGTTTTAGGAACATTAGCGCCCATTATACCCGGTACGTTAACTTCACCTGCAGTTTACTCTCTTAAATGGTCGGCGACCACCTTGTTTCTTTTTTAAAAAGATTTGAACATGGGAACATTTTGTGCGCGAATGTCATTGAGGAAGTTATTTCAACAAAGCAACAACTCCCCAACGTTTTCCCAATAACGACTTCACACTAGTTCCATAGCATCTATAAAATTTAACATGTACATACTCTTCTAACTTGACTGTTCCAAATTCCGAGACCTGAAAACAGGAGCACTCTGTGATCTCACTAACCTTCAGTCCTTCCAAGATTGACCAGGACATGCCACACTATTTCAGCAAACATGGCAATGCTTCTCTGAGATTCTGAGCTTAGCTTTGCCTCACAAACGGAACACACTCTGTCGGTATCCATCAGCCATCGATAGAGCAAGCTGGCAAGAACCTGCAACGAGCAAAATCAGTTCATAAGGAAAACCTGCACTTTAGAGGCTGAAACTTCGGTGAGTAGCTAAACTTAATGCAAGGTTTTTATTAGCGTTGACAAAAAATATACGTTTTATGGAGAGACCTCCTTTAACAAAATGACCTGTTTTAGCCTCAAATTTAAAACAGGTTCTTATTTTTTACAATTACTATTAGTTTCAATTTCAAACTTAGAATTCATAAAATCAAATAAAACAAGCTCCAATGGGCAATGAAAATGAGCTAAGTCCCTTGCAAGGTTTTCTATAATTGGACTGCAGTCATTTAGACGTGATAATATGCATATTTTATTTCAAAAAATAATAGACAATACCAATGATCTTCCAACAAGAGAAAGATTTGTTTTTCAACGCCAATTATGAAAGACGATTGGGGGCTGACTTGGAAAAATGCAGGTTCATTTTTGTATTTTTTTTACTGTACGTCAATATCAACAAAGAAACCTTCAGCTTAATAAGAATGACACTGTATACTGTCTTTACCCTAATGCCAGCAGTCTCACTAGATAAATCGATCGACTTCTGATGAACCGACTCTGAAACGTAAGAAATCCAGTTGACACAAATTGCTGCCATTTCTCTTAGAGTACTAGTCTACATAAAACCACAGAATCATACATAGCCTGAAATGTCAGTCATGTCCCGTTCCCAGCGTAATGTCCAGGCAAGACTCTCTTTCACCTTTCACTCGGGATTAGGCTGAAGGCGGGAGATGACTGACATTTCAGGCTAAATCATACAGCGAATACTGTAACAAATCAATGAAGACTTGACGTTAAAATAATGATCTGTTAAAAGTGCGGGAAAAGCCACGTGAGGATAGGGTTACGGTTTGATACAACGTCTTACTTGTGATTTGTTAGACCATGTTACAGGCAGCTTTATTTAACATATCAGCAGTTGTTTACCTGCTGTTTAAAAATATCGCTTTTCCTTCGTTTTGTTTAGACCACTATGCGTAGACCCTGACTGAGCTTTGTGATTGATTAACAGAATGTGAAACAAACTTTAGGCAAACACTTTCAAGTAATAAGAAGCAAAATCAATACCTGAATTACAATCATGCTTCAAGGTTTCACTGATAACGTAACTTATGTATATTCGTTGTGACGCGAGAGATGTAGTAATTTTAGCGAGGAAGTCAATTTAAGGACATACCTTGGAGCTTGTTCATAAACTGACACATGATCCTAGGAATGGCACAAAAATGCTGAGTCAGCTGATTTAAGAGATTCTGAAGTGCAGTGTACAGAACCTCAGTCTGATCTACAATGAAAAACAAAATTGGTTAATGTGGATGAAATCGTACCAAGGTTACACCTTCGGCCACTCCCACACAACGGGCCACAAAACTCTGGCAGTATTAACGGAGTGATCGTATTAAAGGAGTTCTTTGCGGAATAAGAACTGTCTGAGCTTTTGTTCGGGCCAGAATAAAGTGGCCGTAATAAGGAGCGGCCGTATTAACGTGGTGCCCGTAAGGTGGGGTCCCACAGATCAAACGACTTTCAGAGCGTGTTTTTTCTTTTGCGCGTAAACAAAATCAGTTTTTGCGAACTACTAAACAATGAGAGGCGCAACAACTTACTCTTGGTATCTCTTGTCTTGGGTGACTTCTTGCGCTCGCATCCACACGGGAGCGCACTCATGGACGTAAAGTTGTACGACTTTGTCACCTTCTTGTCTTGCTCGCACAACAGCAACAATGATGAATACAAGAACCTGGTCAATTGAAATCACATGCACCTTTAGCAAGTGGCAGAGGTGCCTATCACTCCACGTGCGTTACGTTTAATTAAGCTTAAGATACACTTTGCTTTGATTGTTTAGTACTTCCCCTGGTTTACTCAAGCCATGCAGAACCACACCATTCAGAGATTAGTCTCATTTGTTCCTTCGCAAACGGCAAAAACTCCCACCTTTGCCCATCTGCCGTTCGTCGTTTTACATGAAAGTGAGTAGTCCCGCGTTTGCCGAGATAATTAAGAATGCTTTTCTACTCTTTTTGATGCATTTATTCAATAATTGGAGGAAAAAAAATTGATTCAGTGGAAAGCTTAAAATTGCCATTTGCCATTCAACCAAGTGAATAAGCTGCTCGCCAAACATAATTAAGACGCGCTCAAGACAGATGTCGTCAACTTCTAGAAGCCTACAGCCCATAAGAAAACAAAATGGACCACTTTAAGTATGAATATCTCCTGTTTTCCCTTGACTCGGTTTCCGTTGACTCAGTGAGCGAGAAGCGTGAAAAAACGCGAAAAAAGAAAAAGATCCAAGCCCACCGCCTCCCCGCCTTTTTCTCGTCTCTCGTTTGAAAGCAATGGGAACTAAACCACTCTACCAAAATGTCCCAGCAACAGCCTCACCTGACAATGTATGGGTCAAACGTTCGGTAGACACAATCAAGCCAAACAGGGCTCTACGCAAACAACAACAACAACAACAAAGTTAACGTAATCAAAATTCAAAATTCTACTGGATGAATTGCAATGAGGTATCTCAACTGAGGACACTATTTGAAAGTCACTGAAGGATGTTTTTGAGCTTTTCGAAGACACCTTGAAATAGTCTCTATAAAAGCAAATGCATACGGCAACGGATCAGACAATGCTCATAGCTTTGAAATCAACAGTACCTCAGAAGCATCTGAAATCTTCAATCCTGATGAGCCAGCATCAAAATGCTTCCAGCTATCCTCCCTAAAAGAAGGTCATCATTGCTTTCATTAAGGCATAAGCGTATTAGCGTAAGAACAAGTAACATACGCAGACCAAGTAAGATGATGATAATTAGCGCCGTTCTTTTGGGAACATTTCCTGGCGAAAGGGGCTTATTAATTGACCTAGAGATGATCTGCCTACATAAACAGTATCGCTTCCTACAGAGATGTTGATGCATGACTACCACCCAAGGACGTAGCTAGGGAGGTCCTGGGGTGCCCGTGACACTCCCTTTTGTAAGCCTTTTTAAGCAAACATCCTACAACAGGTGGCGAAAACGCCATGACAATCTGGTGAGTACCCTCACCTTGACACTGTGTGACCCTCCCTTTGAAACATCCTGGCTACGCCTCTGCCACCAGTTTATGACTACTCCTGTGACTATGTACAAAGTGAAAGGCGAGTATAGGAGAGAAACCCACGGCCTATATACTAACCACTCATAGCAACCCCATTTGAGAACACCTCCAGTATAGCTTCACGATTCCCCAGCGATTCCCATTAAGCAATACATCAAGCAAGAGGAAATCAAGGGACTAGACTCTTCGTCTTGGCAACATACTTCATTGTACTTACGGCTTCCTTATCCTTCCAAAATGCACTAACTGCCTCAAAATGTTATCAGAAATATGCGATTTATCGTACCTGCTGACTATTGCCATGAGGTAATTCACCAGTCCTGGTGATTCATTTGAACACTGGAAGAGGATGTGGTACAAGGAACACACCACGCCCTCATTGAACTTGTTTGCATTCTGCAATGATGATGTTGTTTCCGGTTCAAACCACGTGGACGCCACAGGCTGAGAAGGTTTTGAACTTGAAGAATTTACTGGAGTCCTAAGACTGCAAAGGTCTGCAAGGAATTTGCAATGATCACGTTTCCAACAAGACATCTGGTGAAATTTATAAGTTTAGCTAAAGAATATTATACATGTGTTAAGGTGATTAAATACGGCGGACAACAATTTGTCACTAACAGGTTGAAGCTCACTCACTTGATCTCTTGATCACTCAAAGACCGACCCAACTAACCATCCACTCACCCACCCACCCACCTGTCCAACCTCTCAGTTAAGGTTGGCACACACTAGGGGGACATGTTGCAACAACAGTTTTCCTCGTGTGACATGTTAATCATGGTCTAAGTCACGTACAAACAGTAATAGTATATTTTTAACCTATCAAAAATAATGTCACAATATAATGATGCAAGCGGTCTTTCCAGTCAGCCTCTTCTCTTCCACCGAACCCTCTATATCACCTCCTCAAATCGATTCACCCCATGTTTAATTTATGAACCTACATGTAGTAACGTTAAGAAGAGGAAGGTAGCTATAATTACTATTATACCATCACAAGTGAAAAGTTCTTGTAGCACCATAACTAAGAATTATTCAGGGGCCAGTTGTTAAAAGGGTGAACAACGTTATGCGTTGGATAAATCTATATTCAGTGGATACGTGTTGACAAAACAAACCACACTATCTATCCGCCCTTTGAACAACTGGGTCCTGCTTGATAGAGTGGTTTTTACTTGAGTGTCAAAAGCAATTCGCAGTTGATCTGGTTTTGCATTCTTAGGCTTAATGATTGGTTGAGAGACTCGCGCCACTTTCTTAATCAATCAGAAATAAAACCAAACCCGATCGTCACTTGCTCACACACATTTTCCCGCGCACCCGACGGCTAAATCTATTTGCCTCGCATTTTGATTGGTTTGCTGGATTGGCTGTGTCCTTTGTGATTGATCAGAGTGATAACCTTGGTTTTGGTTTTCTGATACTCGACTGAAAACCCTTCCACTGTCTCATTTCTTTATGCTTACGATTATGTCATTACCTCCATACTTCACAATAGTAACAGGAAGTCTTGCATTTCTACTCACAAGAGCCTAGAAAATAGCGTCAAAATATTGAGCATCATTAAGGATGTACAGCTAATAGGGAAAGCTTTCAGGTCTGTAACATTAAAATATCAGCTTAAACTTACCCGTAAGAACAGTGACCACTGAGGAGATGGTTGATTGACGATAAGCTTAAAAAGCAAAAACGTTGCTTGTCGGTCCGGTATAGCAGCCAAACTAGTAAAGAGAAACAACAAACTTATTGTAAACAGACCGTACTCAGTGACATGTTCTGTGCAAGCTTGCAGGTACATCCCGAGGGTCGTATAACTACGGATTAATACCGATGTCCTGGCTCTTCAAGAGATGGGAGGTGCGGTGGCCTCATGGTTAGTGCGCTCGTCTCCGGATCAAGCGGTCCGGGTTCGAGCCCTGGCCGGGNTACAGAAACCGGGATAAGCTCTGGCCTGATGGGCCACTTGGCTCGTATGCAGACTTTACCTTTTTTACCTACCTGGCTCTTCAAGAGGGGTCATTATATAATAAAAAGCCTGTTAACACACTCAAGTGTCATTGCTCGTGAATTATCGAGATTTACCTTAACTCGTTCACTAACAATGAACTCGAAATTTTCAATACCGCACTCGGCAAAGCCTCGTGGGGTTTTGAAATTTCTCGTTCGTTGTTAGTGAACTCGTGCAGCTAAATCCTGATAATTCACTCGCTGAGTGCGTTAACCTGTAAACAACCCTCACCTTCCTTCATGACTTTTAAAGACTTCAGGATGTAACCATGACAACCAAGCAGTTTTGGAGTTAGCTTCTTCCCAGCTGTTTGATACCTCAGCCATGACATGAGAGCACAGGGACTCCAACGGGCAGCTGACCACGGTCTGGACAAGAAGTCAAGAAGTCAACATCGGGAATGTTAGTAAGCATAAGGACAGTGCTTTCCAATGACATTGATATTGATTTATTGCAACCATACTTAGTATAGTAGGAGGTGTGATGGCCTAACGGTTAGCGCACTGTACTCTGTATCGAGCAGGTTCGAGCCCTGGCTGGTGTCACTGCATTGTGTTGTTAGGTATGACACCTTAGTTTACTCTCAGTGCTTCTCTCCCTCCAGTTGCATATTAAATGGGTACTGGTGAATATAATGCTTGGGGTAACCCTGCGACAGACTCGCATCCCATCCAGGGAGGAGTAGAGATACTCCTAGTGGCTTCATGATATTCACGCTATGGGATACTGGCCTGACCTGATGCAGAACTTCTTATACCTGAATACCTCTTTCCATGGTTAGCACAGTTGGAGAACTTAAATTGCATGACAGTACCGAGGTGATGTCACTGTTTTTTATTGGCATGATTTATAAATAAACCTTATGGAATACTCCTCTCACCAGTGTTGTCAATAAACAGCAGCACAGACTGTGAATTGTTGGAAATGGTGCCATGGATGATTGTGGATCTAACAAGCTTTGTACACATTTACAACACGACCACAAAAATGACAAAGTAGATAGCAGTATGGCTGTGATATCTGATCTGAAACAAATCATTAAAGAAACTTTGTTACTAAAACAGGGTGTCCTCAATGAAAACCACTCAGGATATACAATCATCAGGGAATGATATGTTTGTTCATTTTCACCAAAAAGAGGTGAAAACAATGCAAATCACGAGTTAGGCTAAATTTCCGGTAACTTATGTCCGGTCTACATTCCACAGTGACTGGTAATCAGGTAATCAAGTTTATTTTATTTTGGACTCATGCTTTTACTTGTGGTTGCATTCAAAGCTCAATAAAATTATCAATCTCTGATTAACAGTAATAAAAAACAAAGCCTCATTACTCCCATGAAGTTTTTTTCCAAAGATCTCTATTTCAGTTAGATGGAGCAACCCACCTTTGTACATCTTTTAGCCACCCAAAAGAAATGAAACCTCTTAGAAAAGTTGCAACCTTCCAATAGTAGAACAAGAAAAGACTGTTAGGTTGTTATTATTGGGACTTTATAGCTTGCTATTGGCAGCACCTGAATTGTTTGACACGCTTGGTTGATGGATTCACTCGACTATATCTTGTTGCCAAGGTAACTAAAGAACTGTGAAGGACAGAAGTAAACATTTCCTGGGCTTTTTCAGGGGGGCAATTATCCCACAGGTCATGGTGTAGCCCTTGAAGATGATAGTTCCACATCTGGACAGAAAAAGAGCACCTTTCATCCTGCAAAGAAAATCCAAAAAGTTTCTAAATTATTATAGAAAGGTAATTAACTCATCATTGGCATTTATATGTGCTCTAAATTCCTCAGTTGCAGCTATGTATGTTTTCTGGATTTTTTTGTATATTTACAGACTACAGTGATTATGTCATACTTCAATTAATTAAGTACACAATGAACAAAAACTAGTGAGACAAACTGCCAGCAAAGTAAATTTATCACGGAAACGATTTCTGCAAATTTTAACCAGTCCAGCTTTACATACTGTATGTCAGATGGCAAGTTTATCTTTCTATAAAATTTTTCAGCACGGCTTAAACAGTAGTGTGATAATGATTAAAATTCCCTGGCCTTGATGTGACTACAGTACCTCCAGAAAATAAAAGGGCAAAACAAACAAAAAAAAACCAGGATTTCATTCCTGGCTTAGATGCATATAGATTCTGACACATCAACCATACATTGATCATGACCCTTCTATTCCGATACTCTATAATCAGAGGATCGATCAACTTTTTCAACGGGAGGGCAACTGGCTTTCAGAGGTGGGCAAAACGCTTTGGAATGAACTTCCTTATAAGAAAAACATTCTTCTAGATGGTCAAATCATCCTCACAGCTGGTCAGTTTGTCCAGTCAGCAGTGCCTGGCCCTTAATGAAATCCGTAGTATTATTTTGAACAAGACACAGCACTACTATCACACCATGTACAAGTATACCTCATAGAAAGGTCTGTGATCAGCCCAGTTGTGACTGTGAGCATCTTGTAAAATGACAGTGGAAATCACATTGTCATGGTAACTGGTGATCTGATCAATTACACTGTCGACAAGATCACTGAACTGACGATGCAAAATAGGAAAGGGGCGTCTGGAATGTAGAGAGAAGAATACCTCAGATTTACTATTCACCCTTAGTTTACATCAACAAATGGTATTGTTGCAGCTACAGAATGTTAAATATTCAGTCACCTGCAGACCAACAAAATCTGGCCATATAATGTATCATTAATTTTGCTGGGGCCAGCTAATGTTATATTAATAGGACTTAAATAAGACAGTGTCAATGCATTATTTTTTGCCCAAGACAAAAGATAGTGGATGTAATATATCAAACATGAGAGACAGTGTTTCATCAGGATATCCAAACACCAAGAAGAGGGTAGAAAATACGATGTGCAGTGGAGTATTTTTGATGACATTCAAGGTGTTTGGATAGCCAATGAAACACTGTCTCGAGTGTTTTATATATATCTTCTCAATCGAAACAAAAACTAAGGAGTAAACAGAGAAGTGAAATCGTCAAAATCTATGCCAATTAAGACCGGGTATCCAAATCTCCTTCACGGTTGTGATTTTCTTTGTTTTAACTTGATGAATTATTAATGAGTTTGAGAAGCAATAATGAAAGCTGGCCATTTGAAAGACCACCAAAGTAAAAGATGAGAAATTTTCGTGACTTTCTGTCAATAGTGCACCAAAGGATCTCTATAAGAATTTATTAATAAGTTTGAGAAGCAGTAATGAAAGCTGGCCATTTGAAAGATGGCTTAAGTAAAAGATGAGAAATTTTCTTGACTTTCTGTCAATAGTGCACCAAGGATCTCTATGAGAATTTGTCAGGCTACCATTTCTGTCACCTAGACTGTACACCTACCTGGGTTCAGAACCTAACACCTCTTCATAATGCACCAGCTGGTTTCTGACAAATACAGCACTGCTAAGAACAGTATAGAGACATTCCACACTGCACTGGGTGGGAAACTCAGAGAGCACCTGAAATAACACAGTCATACATGTACATGTATACGTGCTAAAGAAATAACAAAAAAAAATTTTCTGTCTCTCTCTTAAGTTAGCCTTAGAGAAATAAAAGTGGGAGTTTGGGAGAATGAGAAATGCTGTGGGTTAGGGTTAGGGTGGGGAGGGGTCATATGGGATCCTGGAGAGGTAGGACTGAGGGGGCAGGGGGGGGGGTTTGTGTGCATGTTATTCTTTTTAAGAACCCCTCAAAAGATGAAAAACAAAATAGCCTGGTTTGAAGATCAAAATGCCTACATGTTTATACATGCTAAAGGGAAGAAAATGTTCTCTCAAAATCATGTACATGTGTAACTACTAGAGCAACATAATTATGTAAAAATGGCCTGCAAGCATTTGGTTAATCTGTACCTGAGTTAATCTGGAATGGTAAGACTTCAGACAAGCTTCCAGTGAGTCAACAAATGATGACCTGACAACATGGAAGAGTTTTCCACCATGACTGCTGGCCAGTGGGAGAACATCATCAGCCTTTTCCATAATTATGGCACAGCACTGTGTTTAAACAAAAGCAAAACGAAGATTGTTAACAGCTTGATGTTCACAGGGAACCCAATAGCAAACTTATAACTACTACCGCAGTTCAAATATGAATTATTTCATATATACTTTACAGACCAGTCTTACATGTAAGTACCAGTTAAAATATGTTAATTGAGAGTCTCAACTCGAAACTCAATTCTCCATCCTCAGTATTGGTGAGCATCAAGATTCAAGGCTCAAGCTTCAAGTTTCAAGACACTAAAAGAATTTTTTTTGAGAATGTTGACAAGAAAGGATTTGCCAATTTATCATGCAAAACAACCAGTGAAGAAGAATGAGGATCAGTGAATGATGAAATGTTTCACAACATTTTAACAAACATTACTCTCAACTGTTGTCAACGCTTCAATTACAAGAAGCAAAAGATGACTCAAATTCTTAAGATTTATGTCAAAAATGGTCCTCATGCTTCTGATCAACAACTTCAATCCCTCTGTCAATACCTTTGCAATTCTCCTGGGATAATCTTGCTTACCACCAACAACATCATCTGGAAGTACACNAAGTCTAGGTTAATAACTACATAACAATGAAATAAGTTGGATAAAGTGTGCGTTTTAATTGTCATTGCTCACTGGAGATGGTTTTACATCTTATTGATAGCTTCAGACGTCATCGTCATCATGCATACGCGCGCCCACGAGTAATACCGCTAGCCATGATAACCATGAGAAAATCAATTCATGGATTTCCTTTTCTTTACTATATGAGTATGCATGGGGCTCCACTTGGTGGCCCAGAGCTCCTCTATAAAACAATTTGAAGGTTTCAAAATTTGTGAGACATGTACATGTAGTCAAAAAGGCAATAGCCTTTCAAACCTTTTAGCTTAACTGTAGGTATTCTCTCTGAAGACTTGTATAACTGCATCTCCTCATCAAGAGCCTTCTCACATGTCTGTTTGATACTCTCACTGAGAGCCATTGATATCTTTGATATGTGGCTCTTAAATTCATCTCTCCAAGGCCACAGTTGGGCATCCTGACTTGAAGATGATCCACTGCCGAGAGTTTGAGAATCAAGTCTACCACCACCAGAACCTGAATAAGTGAAGGTCAAATATGATCAGTAACAAGTAAAGAATGCCAAAAACTAGGTCTTGCTAGTATTTTTATTAGGATGGTGGAGATGTCAAAGCATTCAGTACCCCTTCCACTTACCAAAAGGCAAAGGCAAATTTCCTTCTGCTACATAAAATGGCATATCGGCACTCTTTTTGGAGCTTTGACGACTGGGATTCCTGTGTCCCAGGACTGGACTGGAAGGGGACCTTGCGACATTCTGCAGACCACCAACCCTACTCCCTAAGCACACAAATCAGATAGTTTAATTAGCCATGATTGAAAGTAATTATATTAAAAATTCACACCAAACAAACATTTCATGTTTCCTATAACTGCATCCTCCACCAATTCTTGGATAGTTCTTTTAGCAAATCTTGGGGTTTGAATTTACTGTCAGACAGAGTACATGTAGCTCCATGCTCTAGAGGTGCCCGGGTGCCACAGGTGACTTTTGCCTTTAGGTGACTGGAAGAACTTACTTTTTTCGTGTAAGCTTAGTGCTGGGCACCCATGATCTTATAGTTAGGAGCCTTTGGCCTTCTGGCAATTTTTCTAAAGACCACAGCCTTGAGCTCTGCACAGGATATATATTTTTTACTTTTACAGGCTGACGTTTCTGTAATATAGATGAAGATAATTTCTGGACTCTAGTTTCTCTGGGACCATATGAACTGTCTGTAGAGCACAGCCAGTGGTGACCATACTATGAAAACTGGTAGGAGGCTGACCGGTTGGCTCTTTTTTTGTGATTCAAGACCACCAAAACACAAATCCATCTAGTGACAGGATGAAGGATTAAAACCCAGGATATCTGGATTACAAATCCAGCATCCAAACCACTAGGCCATGGATCCTCCTCAATCATAAGAAAAAACCAGCTGCTGCTTACCTTTTTAGTTACCTCCACTACTTCAAAAAATATTGAACGGGCTGGATACATAATGTACATGTACATTGCAGAACCCACATTACATACATTGTACACTATACGTACCTGTTCCTTCATTTTCTGATCTATGACTTGTAACTCTGTCCACAAGCCTCTCCAAATTAACCATTGCCTCAAAGCAATGTTTATGAGCTATCAGGTTGTCTTTTGAATCAGTCTGTTTAACATGTGATACATTAGAACCTCTTCTGCTTCCTGGTGCTTGCACCATTTCATTCAAGAATCCTTGGTCATCCTTCTTGTTAACATCAAAGGTCTGACATACAGACTGTAACTCTTGTGTTATCTTCCCTAAGTACGACTCATGGATGAACTCAAAGCTTGGTACCATTGTAGGGAAAATCCCCTCTTGCAAAATCATTGCATCTTCATATATCATCACTTCAACTGCGCGACATAACTTAACAAATGACACAACATTACTTGGAACTTCAGACGAAACAGCAATATCTGTTTCTATCCTTTGTAACAAAACTCTATTAGAAATGTACTGATCCATCAATTGTCTGCGATAATTCTTGTATCCTTTCCAGATTTCATCTGGTGGGTAAAGAAAACACAAGTCATGCAACAGCTTGATTTTAGTTTGCTCATCACAAGGTTGGTCACTGTGTTGATCAGACAGAGGTAAGTTTGCAAGAAGTGTCCAGATTCCTTTACGAATCTTACTCCTGATTGCCTCCCACAACACATCAGTGGCTTGCTCATCCTCTATGACAATGGTGTTCAATGGTACCTCTGCCAGTTGTTCGCCATCCTCTCTTTTATCTGGCTGACCAAACGGCATAAGGATGCCTTGTTGAGATGCAAACTGGACCAGGTCTTCAAAGATGGACTCTTCTTTACCAGGATTTCGCTCTAGGGCCTGAATCTACACGTTACATGCACAGAAAGATTGTTTATCACAACAACCAAAGGTACATGTACATATACAAGCACGAATTAAACAACTTTGTTACATATTAAAACCATACCATGTTGTGAGCCTGAACAGCAGATACATGTGTACATTTATACATGTATATGTTTAAGGTTTTTGAAATACTCTAGTAGTCCACCACCAAAAACAGATTTGGTAATTCCATGAACAATGAGAATTCCCAAGTTTATGATACTCCGAAGAAGAGAAATTTACCTTTCATTTCCTAACACAACAAAATTCTTTGTTTCATTCAAGCTGTGAAACATTCATGAAAGTTTGGGAAGTCAACACCTCACAATGGTTGTGACTCTGTTTCTTTTTCTCCCAAACTTCCACTACAACTTGTTACTATTAATAACTCTGTAGAAACAAGACAAATGTTTTCAGCAACTTACCACATTGTTTAAGAAGCAGTTGAGTGCTATAGGTTCATAAGAGCAAGCACTGGTCTGTGTAACATTGGAAGATGTCAAAAAATCAACTGCATCTTTAGAGTTCAGCCATTCTGATGAATCCTGAGTTTTGTCTTTTGAAATGGTGTTGCAGACATCAACAAACTGTCCCCAACTTTCTTGCAAGCTGTTGAAAAGGAAGTTCATCAACACTTTCTCACTCAAATTCCTAGATATACACGTACATGAAACAGTATCAACCAGCAACTGTACACTGGTTAATAATAAATCAAATTTTCACTCTGCATGATGGTGACACAAACAAAAGAAGTTGATCAGAATATAATATGTTACTGAACTAGTGGGAGGTCCTTATTGGTGAAATATCAGTCAAGTTATATTTTGCAGGTTTATGGACTGAGCCACAGGTTACATGTATAGTACCAGTCAAAGGGACTGTAGCATTACACGCACGTAAAGCGTGTGTACTACACGCACATTACACGCAGCGTCCATGCACCTTACATGCAAATGCACGAAAATGCGCGTAATTACATGCGTGTAACTACATGCAGTTCATGTGATATTGCGTGTACCAGCAGCACCAGCAACTGGCAGGCGTGCTAGGATTCACTGAGATAGTGGAACATGAACATATAATGTTGCTTTCCGTTTTAGTTAACAGCAATCAGTGTACTTAAAATCAATCCAAAGATTCATTAAAAATATTTCGTACTCCGAAAAGTTTGGAGTTTACCAGTGTTCAAAAGCTTTTCCGGACGTGTTTTTTCCTTTTCCTGAGAAACAACAAGGGCGCCAGGGACTGACAAACTGAGGCTTGATAGACATGAAATAACAGCAAAACACAATATTTCGCTTGAGATTTTCTGTTAATTTTTAAACATCAGTTATCCTTCCTTAAGTTTAAAAAGCATTTGAAGATTCGTCATTGATAGTGCTCAGAAGCGAATGTTCTCTGCCTGAAAACATATTGTTTTGATCTCATAAAAATGAAATTCGATCTGTTTCTTGAATAGCATTGCCTAGCATGTGACCAAAATCTACCCAGGCGAAAATCCTGTGCAGTGTGAAAGATGTTTGTTGTTACTACCTCATTTTATTCCATACGCGTACACATATACAGACACGCAACGATCTGTCAACCGGACTTAACCCACGGATGAAAATCTGAATGTTTTCTCGAAGCTAGCTTATCGGTATTCAAATGCATGGTAAGTTAAGCTGAATAATCAAACGCACCGGGTGTAAACATTGCGGGTTGTGGTCAGAAGGTTACATAAGAACCTGATGACTTGAAAATTAACGAATGCTTAGATTTTGATCAGAAAAAGCTTTGATTCTTCGCCGTTTAAGATTAAGAGAGAGTCCATGAGTTTCTGTTTGAATCCCTATTTCATTGTTATCGAAAGAACAGGAGTTGAAATGACACTTTGTGTGTGGGTAAACATTACGTTGCGACGTACATCGTACGTGTTCCAACGTAAATGAAAGCTCAGAGATCTTTAAGAATTTAGAAGTTTTGATGTTAAGTAGAAGTGCGGGCTGCTACGGAATAAGAAAGAGTATTTGTTTGATAGGTGCTCGAGCTAGTCCACTTATTTAGCAATGCTTGTTGGCTTTTAAATTTACCTTTTGTTGTGAACACTGAGAGGAGTGACAGTCGTGTGTATCGAATACAAGTTAGTAGTGGCTTTTTGTTTTGCAATATACATGCAAATGCGTGTATGAATAACAAAGGTTTCTTCTACCAATTAAAATACACGCATATAGGTGAAATTACACCCCAATGCGTGGAACTACCGGATCAGTAAATTTTACACGCACCTTACCCGCAGTGTCCACGAATACTACACGCAGACTACACGCATTTTACACACATGTAGGTGCTGCAATCCCTTTGACCGGTACCGTCACTCCACAAAATTGCACAAAAAGAAGGAGATCAATATTTCCCCAATAAGGCCTGAACAAGCTAGTTCAAAAAAAGCATTTAATTTAATGGCTCTTTTAAAATTCTGCTGAGTTAATGCATCAATTCTCAGTGAGTATGTACACCAAAGTTAAGTATATAATTATTTACATTTTATAGGCTGCTCTCATTATTATTTAATTTAACTGACATCAAAGAAAAATGTATTCAAAAGAAGAAACTGTTTATTTTTGTGCAATGTTCTGGAGTTAGACAATTTCCAAAAACAATTTCTGACAGATCTATCTTCAGGGGTTTCAAAATGTTTTGAGGTAGGCGTCTGGAGCTGGAAGAGTAGGCCTCTGTGACAAGTTAAGGGTCGCAAGGCCCCTGATCCTGGGAGGTCTGGTAAAATCAAAGAGAAGAGACACCATCCATAGGCATACATGATGTTCTCAATGCTCACCGGTTTGCTACGCATTATAGGGGAAGTTAAACATGGTCAGCCATTTGGTAGTTTTCGACATGGACTTATTTGTCATATACAGTCAAACCTCCGGTTTCAATCACCTCTCATAAGCAACCACCTCTCCAAGCGACCAGTTTTCTAACATAATAAAATTTTCCCAGTCAAGACACTATATTTGGAACCTCTTACATGTAGAAGCGACCACCTCTTGTAAGCAACTGTGACCACTTTTAAAGCTAAATGCTTGAAATTTTCTTTTGTTCTTTACCTCCTGTAAACGACCACTCAACAAATTATAGAGTGGAAATTGGATAATAACATGCTGTCAAATTTAAAGCTAGCAATCCTATCCTTTTTAGTTCATGTTCAGTTCCCCTAACGTTAACACAACATTAAAGATTCAATTTGTAACTATCATGAGACTTGCTCCATTCGCCTTTTTAGGCAGTTTAAAATCAGAAGTGAACTATGTTAAATATTCTAAATAAATACTCTAGAAAGCTTTAAAAATATTTTTGTGGCTAATAAAAGTTATTACATGGGTTTAGATGGGCACTGATGCAAGGGTTAAGTCTCTGCAATACTGCATGCTAATGAAGCAAAATTTTGACCCAAAGTGGTCTTAACTCTTGCAAGCGACCACCACCTAGGCTTGACATTTTGGGTGGTCGCTTACGAGAGGTTCGACTGTAATAAGTTCTGATAATGACCACCAACATGGTGGTAATGAAGTCACATGAAAACCAAAAATGCACCACCCAACATAATTATCACACATATTTTTCTAGAATAAATCCAGCCATCATTTGTGTTAGTTTTGTCTGTTCATTTGCTGATTATCATTTACACTGTGTCTGCTATGTATGCAACTACGTTTACGTTCAAGCAATGATGCAATGCAATCCTGTCGTGACTGTCAAGCCAAGGCCACAAATTTAAGGTTACTTTTAAAAGATTCAGGCAAGCTTACATCCAGCTGAACTTAAACTTACATGTTTCTTAACTCTGTGTGAATTGCGAAAAGAGAAAATGGTTTGTGAATCATATCTGTATTACTTGAAAGTTCAGTCGCGCTTTGAGTAGTATTACATTACCTTGCTGTATTTTCTTCTAAACGAGCATCAAGTTTCCGAATGGCGTCTTTGATAGAACCGACATCCAGCGACGAAAAACTGAGCCCGTTCACCAACAACGACAGTTCCCCAACTTCATGTTTGTTCGACTTCGACCGATCGCTTCTCGTCATCTTGGGTACGTCGTCAGCTCGCGCATCGAGTACAAGAAATATCCAACTTGACAAAGCAACTCGTCGCTAGCGCTCTTTGTTCAAATTCCAGCTGTTTTGATGAGTTCAACTTATATTGACTCGGTGATTTTTGCATGTTTTGTAATGTTTACACGAAGAGCTTTTCTGCCGGGCGCAGATGGCCGTAGGGGAGATTCCATATAAGGTTACCATTGCCATATTTAGCTATATGGAGTCGAGTACCTCGCGGTCGGAAATGCGCGGGAATTTCTTTCCCTTGGAAAATCATGTCAGTCATGTGTGGAAGCAACAGATTGTGTGTAGTTGGGTGTAGTTGTACATGTAGGACCTGTAATATCCAAGCTTTCGCCAACAGCCTGAATGGTGTAATGATTTCATCGCCATGCAAGCAAGATGAGGAGGTACGGTGGAAAGGCTATGAAGACCTATGAAACTCTGTAAGATATGACTTGGAAGTGTCTCGCTCAAAATATTAAGCTTATATACACAGTTGTGGCCAAAATGAAACTTATCAGGAACTCATATGATATGCTTATAACCTCTTGCAGGTGGCCATTGCAGACAGGTCAGCACACTCCTGTCCTAATCACATAGGTCCTAAAGCAAGCTAAGGTAAAGTTTGTCTCCAAACCTAGATTCATTTGCCAGGCTGAGCTAATTTCTATTTTGACAAGGGAAGGGGGTACGTCATAGGGGTGACTCCCAGAGTCCAGGTTTATGAGGCCTGAGTTATTTCACATCCTGAAGAATAGATAAGAAAAGACCTTGAGGGAAAACTGACACATAAATAAGAAAAAGCCAAAAACAACTAACATCTATTAGAGCTAAATAAAGAAACTACTCTCTTGATTATTACAATGTAGTAATATGTAACTCCTTTTTCCCCATCTCTTAGCTGCCATAGGTATCCAAGAGGATAAGGGGTACCATATTGTTTTGAACATTGCAAATTTATATACTTTTTCTCTGATAATGGTAGAATCGGGCTAAATGTGCAGGGTTCACTGGATGTTTGAAAGGAAGTACATGTAGCTTTATTGTTAAAGACGGACAGGAGTAGGCAGCTGATTTTGTGATCTGTTTCTAATGAATTAGACAAATATCCCAGCAGAGTAGCGGGCTGACATCATGAAGTAGGTGGTTACATTTGCTGGGAGCTTTTGACTACCGTCAATGAGTGAACCTTCTTTTCTTTTGTTGGTTCAGGTTTACACTTTTTTGAAACCTTGTCATATAAGGCTGTTACATTTCAAATCAGTCAGCTAGGCCCAAGAAATCTGTCTGTAATCACGAGATCAAAATTTTCAACCTCTAGGTGAGAGACTCGTGCCTATGGACCGTGTACATGTAAGAGTTGGCAAGTATAACTTGATATAGATTGACAGATCAAAATTTAATATGAGAACTCCTTCTAGCCCAATCTAGTGACAGCTGCCTCAAAACCATCCAACACTGCTCAAAACAGACCCTGACAGTTTCCAGAGAGGTTGGACTTCGACTTGGTTTGTTTTCAAGGAAGCATTTGTTTCAGGTATAAAATAGTATAAATTGTCGATGTTTCAAAATTATTAGCTCACCATCACTTTGTTCTCTACAAATGTTTTGATTGATCATTTTTCTTCTTGGTGGTGAAACACAAATACGAACTGTCACATTGTAATATTCTTACTACAGCTTGACAATGAAAGGTACAAAAGAGAAATATTGTGTCTACAGGAAGTCATATAGACTATAGCAAAGTGTCTCTCCTTCTTTCTGGGTCAATCAATGTTAACTGAGCCATAAGCAATATTCTTCAGTTATTGCTCTTACCATTAACATGTGTAAAAAGAAATATTTAAAGCTTGGATAAATAAAATATGTACACACAAACAGTCAAACTACTCTTAAGATCACATGAAGGGGTGCATGGAAAAAGACCCTACGTAACATCTGATAGACTACAAGATTCTCCAAGCAAATTGCTTTTAGCTTCCTTCTGTGAAAGAAAGGAGAATTTGACATGAGGTCAAGAGTCACTTAAAGCTTTTTTCCATGCACCCCTTCATATGAAAACCATGACTGTTTCACACAAACAAAGATATTTGCGTATGCAATGTACGCTTTACACTAATACATCAATCTGATGAATACGCCTGTACAGCAAGCAAGAATGACAGTTGAAATGAGTCTTGAAACAAAAACTGGGTAAAGCTTCCTTCAACTCCCACCAACAATCATTTTTTATTATTATAGCACACAGTGAAACATGCCATGAGCAAGTGAGAGCAGTGATCAGTTACTCATTAAACAAACGAAAACTATCCATTGTAACTAACATAAGCAAATCAGAATGGTTGAGAGTTGGCAGTGGAATGGGTGCTGACGTGGATTCTTGCTTAGCTGGTTTTAAGGTGGCTCCCTATAGTTTTACGACTGCACGCGTGCTGAGGATGACAGCTCAAGTAATCTGCGTGCACTCAAAGGAAAATGTCAGTGTTTTTCACTATTTTACGCCATCAACATGAGCCGAAAAAGCAAAACTGACAGTGAATTTTCTCGCATTTCCTTAAGTAAAATTTCGTAAAATTTGGCAGACTGGTGGTAACTATTTTAGTTTAGTCGGAGCTCGTTTTTCAGGGAAATCTATAAGACCAGTTTTTTCGCAAACAAGGTAAAAGACATAAATGTGCAAAAATAGAAAAAAACTGCCTAAACAAACCCTATTTTTTTTGTGTTTAAAACTTGTATTCCGAAGGATGCGATGTGCTGTGAAAATTTTGGAAGATTTCACAGATGGAAATTCAAGAAAATCACAAATAAAACCATAAAAAAGTAAAAGACGCATTTCTTTGAGCACTTATAATTCAAGGCTTCAACCCAAAATTTTAACAGAGATGATAGTAAAACGCTATTTAATCATTGCTTATGACATGTAGTAAGTTTGAGAGGACTGGGTGTAAAAATGAATGCAAAAACAGAATTCAAAACGTAACACTTACGTGCACAACGTCATAATGATTACCCTGTGGAGCCATCTTAAATCCTTTTTATCACCTCCCACCGCAGGACTGTACTAATCAGCTGACTTGCCATTCCATATACAGTGTACATCAGCTGAAGCAGTCCCAAAATTTGACGAGAACGTCACAATTCTGAATGGGTATGTTTATGTTTTAATAAAAATAAAATATCATTTATTTGCTGTTTTTAATACCAGGAATCACTATCAAAATATTTTAATAAAACTTGCACATGCAAAAGCATATTAATCAGCAGGAATTTTCAACCATACAAAAAAACTGTAATTAGATTTATGGATTGAAAATTCATATTTTTCCAAATGTTGTAAAAATCTACTGTTTAGAGCTGGTTCCTGAATTTATTTCCTGGGAACTACTAAAATAATGCTAAAAGAAATTAAATGTAACTGAAAACTTAATTTTAAAAAAATTTAATATTAATTTAGTTTGAAAAACCAGTGGAGATCACAGTCATTAATTTAATCCAGTAGGTCAAAATATGCCATCTCAGAAAATTACTTTTTAATAGATCACTTTCAGCTTATTTCTACATCTAGGCAGAGTATGTGAATACATACAAACATAGTCACTATAAATTAAAAGGCTTTGTACAGTACACATCTAACTAAATTATTCAACCTTGTGGAATCATTAAAGTTATTCTGTAACATTCTCTCTTTGAAGAGATTAGGAATAAAAAGTGAAAATAATTTGCAAAGTTTTTGTCCAATCAATGTTCTAGTGTTAAAGATGAAAACAAAGGGATCTTGGATTGATTTTTTTGTCTATTTTATCATAAAACGACACAATTAAGCATAAGACTTACGTTCTATGTAATCTGAACTCGTGATCTAAAAATTCCCTTGGCATAACTACCAGTATATATACTGCTGAACACATCTTTGGAAGGATGAATTAAATGGTTACAACAGAAGAACCTCCTGTGTGTGTGTAGTTGCAATTTAAGATTCCATGTAAAATCAATTATACAAATAAAAAAAATTATTCAAAATTAGAGGACGTTTTGAACGGAAGCAGTCTGAATTAAGACAGTAAATCACACCAAAATGTTCGGTTTAATCTTACTCCGAGACTAGAAGATCGGCCGGTGATAAGGATTAAAACTTCGCAATATTGAAAATGCAAGTAATGAATTTTTTCAAACAATTGTGATAAAAAAGGAAAATTTATACGGCCTAGGATCTTCGTAATACCTTTCATTTATGATATATTTCAATATTTAGAAATTAAAGAAACAGCAGCCCAGAAAACGGCCATCGCCTCTTTAAAACAGTTTTCTTTTAAATGGAACGAAGAGGCATCAATATTTTCTTTATAAATAGTGATTATTTCAATCACAGACAATTTTCAGGCTGTTGAAATCTGTGAAGAAATTTAAGAAATCAAATTTATTCGACAGGAAGGTCGAGCACCTGGAATTTCGAGTAAACATTTCAGACTACGAAATGCCTGAAAATAACACAAAAATTCTCCACGAATCATTATATTCTTACGCTGTAACTTTCACTGTTTCTAAAAATTTCGACACTTAAAGGTCTAATATAAGTTACGGTTAAATAAATATCATAACAATAAAGACTGTGTATGTTTAATACACGCCTCGCATATTTTGAAAAAGATATATGCAACCACACGATGACGAATCGAAGGTCACAGTAAATGTACAGTTAGATAACCGAAAGTCCCATTGAGTTTGCCATATCCCGTACACAGGAATCCTATAGATTGCCTTCCTCCATTAGTTTGTTCAGATTGGCTACGATATTTTTGAGAATAACGCCGAAAGGTCCGTCGCGTTTCTCTTGAAATACTCTCTCTAACATATCGCCATTTGCATAGTAGTTGAAAACGTGATCAACCCGTCCATGCGATTTCGCCGTCAGGTGGCGCTCGATGATTTCATGGAGTAGGCTTCGGCAGTCCTCCAAATTCTTGGTTAAAAACTTCTTATCGAAAGAGAAATCAACCTCATAGAAACTGATAAATGTCATGGCTGCAGACCGAAAGTTTCTCCTAAACTTCTCCGCTGTTTGAATTTCCTCCCGACTCAGCTGGTCGTTGCGAAACAAAATGCTGATCTTAACCACAATTTTGACAAGGTTCTTCACGAGTTTTTCCGCTTCTTTCTTGCTGCCTGTCTCCAGCTTGGCTAGCCTGTACAGCTGATCTAGTAGATCTCCTGTAGTGTCGTCTACAAAAGCTTTCGCCATATTTTTCGAAGCCATTTTCCCCAAGATCTTCTTCTGCGCTCGAAGAGCAACACTCTTCGAGTTGAACCCGCTACCAGGCTCTGCAGCTTCGGCCATTTTGTCCCTGAATAATAGATAGTATACGTAACAAGAAGGGATTAATTTCTGCACTTACACGCAATACCCGTGGAAAAATCTTACGGCAAACAAAAAGCGAAGCGGCACGCTGCTCAAGTGAGCTCATATCCGCCGAAGCCATTTGCATGCCGAACACTTGCTCCAAAAATGTTAAATACCTGAACTTCGAAGGGTTTCGCCCCTGTTATGTTTCCATGCAACGGCCTTCGCAAGGTTTCAACACCAAATTTACTACAGTACAGTTTCCTTTACGCCTGCAGCAACGGAGCAATGCACGCTCACAATACTAAAGAAAAAGAAATGAAATCCAGCGAATTTACTAAAGCTCAAGTGATTGACAAGGCCGAGACACGTGATTCGGTTATATGTAAACTCAAGGATTAATAACTTGAATATCGCTGTAATGATGCGTCGCCTCCTGAGGGAATTAGCTGTAAAATATACCCTCTGTGCAGACGTTGCGGATAGATACTGATCGTTCTTTTATTCTGTTGCATGTACGTGTCATTTGTTGAATTTACAAACAAAAGACAGTTCTTCAATGTCGGAAGATTAGAAAACGGCTGGTGCTCTCCCTTTCTTGCGATTTGTTTACATTCGCTAATTGTTTTATGACCAAAACCGCATATATTTTCCAAACCTGTCAGTATTGTCGCGCTGTGTCAATGAAGCAGATAAAAGTGTTGTTCTTTTTTGCTTGCCAAATGAGTTCATTATGGAAGCTTTTTCTCAAGCGCCTGTCATTGAAACAATTAGCTAAGGCGGTCGGGCTGCGAGAAATTCGGCGGTAATTGATCGCGCACCTGAAACAGCTTCAATGCCACAATTTACATCTGTACATAATGAAGTAAAGATATAATCAAATGTTTTTTCAGAAGCGACAACTGAACCGGAGGTTGGTCATCTGCCTCAACAATTACGGTACTCCTGCGCTGCGGTTTGTCCGATTACATTAGAAGGGGTAAGAGGGGGTACCTCGCCACGTCCAATTATTTTCCAATGCTGTGGTCATAACGATTTTGATAAGGCATAAATTGGGTAATATCCTAATTAAACTAAGACCCCCTTATCTCGCCAGTTGGGCTACGGTCCTTTTAAAAAGAATAAGAGATTCCAAGTGTCTGCGCCCACAGATGGTGGTAGATAGTATCAGTGGAATTTGACTGTTGAAGCGTGTACTATACTGTGAGCGCAAGATATCCACGCGCCGTTGGCCATAATTTAGAAAAATCAGAAAAGGCCTCTCTTTTCAACAGATGTTAACGTGACTGTCCATAAACAGGTCTAAACATAAAAGCAATCAACTTAAAAAACATGTGTATATATGTATTTATTACACGATTACGTTAGTTCCGAGGGCCAATAACTAAATCGACCAAACAGATTCCTCCATTGCCGGTCCAATATTCTCTCGATATTGTACCGGACATTGTCCCGAATGATCCCTGATGACCTTTCTTGAAGATTTTTTGGTTGTTTTATGGCTTACGGCTCTAAAAGAGCCTGATTATCTTAAACATAAAACATTCTTTTTCTTCCAACTCTCTTTCCCTTCTGTGGTTCAATTTTTAACATCACACGTGAGTATACGCCTTGTCGGCTTCCAATCAGAATACCGCGCTTTTTTCCAGTCCATGATCGTGGCATTATTCTCTAAACATCAGTCGTGTAATAATTTTTTTAATTAACCAAGCTTGCTCGGGACCGTACTGAGAGATATCGGAATTGTACGGACTTCGCTGCGCTCTATCCGTACTGTCAAGACATCGCGTTCCGGCCGATAATTTTTTCGCGCCCGATAATATCTTCATACTGGCATCCCTTCGGCTAAATTTTTCATTTTTAAGCCCTTGAAATGCTGAAGACTAAGCTTCTGGAACATTTTCTCGAGATATTTTGAAGGGCACTCACATACCTGAATGACAGTTTTCCCCCTCACTTTTGTACAGTTGAACTAGTACAATCCATGCCCCATCCTTTTGTATACCTGCATCCCGAAAGAGGTGCCCCTTTTGGCCCTTTCTGATGGGTTCAGTCCCACTCCACAGTTGAATCTGGAAGATTTCTTCAGCGATATCAGTGAATAGATGAACCTATTTCTTCGACTATCAGTAAATTCTTCAGATTTCGGATCTCAGCCAACAGTTAAAAAATTTGACACAAGTAAAGGTTCGATGCAATTCTCAGCTTTCAGTGAAACTCCGTCCAGACCGTCTTCTTGTTTCCAAAAGTGTTCAAACTTTCGTCACAGTTAAATCTATCAGTTATACAGAATGTGATGAATCGGTATTTGAACTAATTAGAACACTCTTGTTCGTTTCCTCAGTGAAATCACACAGATCCAACCATGTTTTACAACAATTGGTCACGTGACCAACTGTTAAGAAAGAATGTTCAGTGTTGACTTTTTCCTTTTCATTCTATCTCTCTATCTTTTTATCAGAGATTAAACCTATCTTTGGGCGAACTTCAAAAAAGGTCGCTAAAGCCATTAGTATCTTGTACTGCAAGGGAACTACAGGGCATGAATGTTCGCGGCCCTTCTAAAGCTGATTAACGCAAATATAATCCGGGATTTAGGTTTAAAAGAGTTTTTCACTGACTCATTGTAAGTCAACAGTTTTGAAGAAATGGTATCAACTTAAACCGAGTCAATCCGGCACAAGCCACTCACTGACTCAAATAAATTCTGGGTTCTTCCAACCATTGCCGAAGACTTGTACATCCCTTATCAGTGAAAGGGCCACAGAGAACAAGTGGTCATGCGTCATCACATGCCCGAGTGTCTGCCGAACGGGCGTGTGACCCAAACGTGAGCCTGCCTGCAGGGTTTATCTCATAAGTAGCTTTCCCCATGTTATTTGTTCTTCTTTAAGTAAACAAGCCGGCGGGGAAACGTCTGTGTTCAGGTGATGGCAGTTGATGATAATGCCAGTTTCCAAGGCAAACCGGTAACGTCGTCCTATCCATTGAGCCCGGAATTGAACTGTCACCGCTGAAGTTCCGTTACCGCTTTTTGGAGGCGCTTATTCGGGAGAGTCCCTTTTACGAGTAATAAAAGGCAAGTGCGAAGAGCCGACGAGAGAAAGTCGCGAGCGAGACGAATTCATTCACCCTACTTTATTTGTTTTTTTGGACGACTCCATAATAAGCTTCTGAGCTTTATAAAGGTTGTGTCTGTCTGTCTGTCTATCCACAGTAACTGCCATTAACAGACATGTCACGCAAGTGACGTGACTCGTAAAAACGGACCTTTCTACTGATGTCACGCAATTTCAACAATTCTTCGTATCTTTAATATAAACGTAAAACTACCTGGATAGATAAATTCATCCTGGTGAATTTAATAAATATGCGAAGTTTCATAAGATTCCGTTGCAAACTCGTGAAAATATCGGACCCAACATAACCAATTTTTACAAAGAATTGTATGCCAGGCGTGAAAGCGTGACATCTGTAAAAAGGTCCATTTTACCTGCCTTCCTTCTTTTGTCGCTTTGCATTATGGGATGACATTTCAATGAAGTTTTAATTCAGTTCCAGCCCTCTCTCTGTCATAACGTTTTTAACGTTGCTTACCAAAGAACCAAATGCCTGGTAGAGGCCAATGCATACATGTATGTTTATCGCAGTATGTCTATTGATGGCGAATACATGTAACAGGTACATTTTATTATTTTCTAGGAATATCTTACATGTGTCAGTTATTTCCTAATCTAAATAACATGGGTTATCCTGACAAGACAGCATTCGTTATACAGGAGATACATATATATGTAACTGGGCAAAGTATCAGATACAGTTGTGCTCAAAAGGCCACTGAATGATAGGTGACTTCTTGCTTAACAGAAGGGCAGATTCACGCCCCTTCAAAGGACGATTTTTGGTTTGCATCTGATCAGTAACACATACAATGCATAATAAAGAAAATATAATACACCTCTTTAGGTAGAATAAACACGACATGTATAATACATTTAAAAGAGTCTATATTCTAGAGAAAGGAAATACTTGCAAACAAAATAACCAAGCTATTAAAATGTGTTCAGATTTTAGTTTCTTGTGTGCAATTCACATTTTGTGTGTAACTGATTAGATGCAAACCAAAAACCCTTATAGCTAACTGCATTAGCTGTAATTACTGTAGATTAAATTTCTACTCATAATATCAAAACATAGATGCACAAAAAGGAAATAATCACCAAAGGAAACCTCATTTTACAATCCCCCAATATATTTCTTCATCTAAAAATATCTGAAAATTCACTATCCAATTATGCATTTCATGCTAAGTTTCACAATACATGATTTGAAAAGTAATGTTTATTTTTTAGGTGGTATTTAACATGGAATTCATGATCCTTTAATACATTGTATTTGGACATTAGTGAATTTTATCAAACAAAAATCAATGTACAATGTAATTTCATCCCTAACTGCTGTTTCACTGCTGCATGGTCTAGCAAACAGCATATAAAATTCTTCACCAAACCAGAATTGCAACAGGGCTGTCATTAAAGACTGTAAACCATGACACCTGTTACGGCTGAGTATGCTTGATTTTCCCTTGATGCTTTGGGTTAAATTGCCTGTTGTTGAAAGAATTCACCCACAAAGACACAAGTTTGCTATGGGTGTGGAGAACAAGGCTACAGGTAACTCAAAACTTAATGACAGCCCTGTGCACTGCATCAATAAATCATTAAAACTAGTACAAACTCTATTGTGAAGTTTATATGAAATAATTCATATATGAACTGCGGTTGTAGGTGAAAGTGAAGAATATTTCACTCCTCACGGGAAGATATGAACTCAACTAATTGACCTTGCTCCCAATGTGTGGCTTCATAGCTCAGTTGGTAGAGCATCGCACCGGTATC